CTTCTTCTTCTTCTTCTCCTCCTCCTCCTCTTCTTCTTCCTCCTCCTCTTCTCCTCCCTCTCCTAATCCTTCTCTTCCCTCTCCCTCCTTTTCCTGCTCCCTCCCCTTCTTCTTCTTCTTCTTCTTCTTCTTCTTCTTCTTCTTCTTCTTCTTCTTCTTCTTCTTCTTCTTCTTCTTCTTCTTCTTCTTCTTCTTCTTCTTCTTCTTCTTCTTCTTCTTCTTCCTCCTCCTCCTCCTCCTCCTCCGTCTCCTCCTCCTTCTCTTCCCTCTCTTCCTCCTCCTTCTGCTCCCTCTCTCCCTCCTCATCTAAGCCAGAAACAGCTGCTTTTTCCAAAGGGTGTGAGGTAGAAGCCATCTATGGCACTTCAGATGTTCAGCTATAACTCCCACCATCTTTTGTCAGTGGCCGTGCTAGTTGGGAATGTTGAGAGTTATAGAGTCCAGCAACATCTGGAGGGCCACAGATCGCCAACTCTTGATGTCCAGGTAGCTAACTTACCCTACTGCAGTACAGTACAACACAGCTTATGTCTTGCAAACTTAGCTAACCCAAGCCGCAGGTTATGGTGAAAAACAGTGGTTGAATTGTCCCAAACATAACTTCTTCTTGACCCGATTTGTATGTGCTTCCAGATGAAATGTTCAGCGGCCAACGTACTACAAGAAGCCTGGTTATTGTACAAGCATACCAAGAGGAAGGATGGATTAAGGACGCGCAAACATCACCGGCGGCTGCTGGCAGCCATTCACATGTAAGTGAGGAATCCCAATGACAATGAGCATTTGAGTTTAAGACTTGTAGATTACAACTCCCAGATTTCCCCAGCCAGCTGTCCAACCTTGGCAATTTCAAGACTTATGAACTTCAACTTCCAGAATTCCCAGCCAGCATGGGTGGCAGGGAAGGAATAAAAGATGGAAGGGACTTGGAGGTTTTCTAATCCAACCCCCTGCTCAAGCAGGAAACCCTGTTATCATTTTACACAAATAGTTGTCCCATCTCTTCTTGAAAACCTCCAGTGTTGGAGCACCCACAACTTCTGGAGGCAAGTCATTCCACTGGTTAATTGTTCTCACTGTCAGGAAATTTCTCCTTAGTTCTAGGTTGCTTCTCTCTTTGGTTAGTTTCCATCCTTTGCTTCTTGTCCTGCCTTCAGTTGCTTCGGAGAATAGCTCGGCTCCCTCTTCTTTGTGGAAGCCCCTGAGATATTGGAAGACTGCTATCAAGTCACCCCTCGTCCTTCTCTTCATTAAATTAGACATAACCCAATTCCTGCAACTGTTCTTCGTATGTTTTCACCTCCAGTCCCCTAATCATCTTTGTTGCTCGGGAACTAACTCTTTCCTTCTTGCAGGTTTCGCCATGTGAGGATGAAACACCGTAAGATCCGAGATCAAGTCAATACCATGGTGGATATTTCTAAGGTGGGTTTTCTAGCCAACCTGAGAGAGGAAACCCTTGCCCTGGTTTAAAGGAAGCCGTATCCTTCTACATGTGGGTGCCTGAACTACAATTTCCAGCAACCCAGCCAGGGCAATCAAGAGTGTAAGAATCAGCCACATGTTGGAAAACTGTCACTTCTCCATCACTGTCTTCAGCTGAGATGGAATAGTTTCTTTTGCTGTAGGTCAGGGGTCTTCAAACCTGGCCCTTTTATGACTTGTGGACTTCAACTCCCAGAATTCCTCAGCCAGTGTGCCTGGGAGTTGAAATCCACAAGTCATAAAAGGGCCAAGTTTGAAGACCCCTGGTTTAGATCAATTGAAAAAAAAAGGAGTCCACTTCAAATAATAATAATAATAATAATAATAATAATTTAATTTATATACCGCCCTTCTCCCGTAGGACTCAGGGCGGTGCACAGCATATTAAAACAGACAAACAAATGAAAGCATGTGTCTCTACTATAGAGCAGAACCATCAACCATCTCATTGAAACCCAGTTTCCAGAATCCTTGTTATGGAAGCCATACACCTGTTTGTGTAGATTTGATTCCCCTCGCCTCCCATGAGGTAACACTGGTGTTCAGTAGCTATGGAACATCACTGTGGTGGGGAACTGTCCATGGAAAGAGAAGAGTTGGTTGTGCAAAGATTGTCCAAAAGGAAGTGGGAGAAACAGAGAGCTTTTCTGTTCTATGGTGGCTGGGCTCCCCTCTTTGAGCATAATGTGAATTATATATGTTTTTCGTCTAATCCAGAGGTGTCCAACTCTGTCAACTTTAAGACCTGTGGACTTCAAGTCCCAGAATTCCTCAGCCAGGCATTCTGGGAGTTGAAGTCCACAAGTCATAAAAGGGCCAAGTTTGAAAACCCCTGCTGTAGGTTATATGTGCTGGCTGACCTTGTTTGGGGTCAGACGCTAGGCAGGATAGGTGACCACCACAGCTCTAGGTTAACATGGGAAGCTAAAGGACTCTCCCAGAAAGGGAGCTGGGTGGATGTTGTCCATGGAGTCCCCAGGAGTTGAGTTCAACTTAAAAAGTATAGTATAGGGGGTACCTTGCTCAATAGTAGTAACTGTGAGAGGGATCTCGGAGTCCTAGTGGACAATCACTTAAATATGAGCCAGCAGTGTGCTGCAGCTGCCAAAAAGGCCAACACAGTGCTAGGCTGCATTAACAGAGGGATAGAATCAAGATCATGTGAAGTGTTAATACTACTTTACAATGCCTTGGTAAGGCCACACTTGGAATACTGCATCCAGTTTTGGTCACCAAGATGTAAAAAAGATGTTGAGACTCTAGAAAGAGTACAGAGAAGAGCAACAAAGATGATCAGGGGACTGGAGGCTAAAACATATAAGGAACGGCTGCTGGAATTGGGTATGTCTAGTTTAACAAAGAGAAGGATGAGGGGGGACATGATAGCAGTGTTCCAATATCTCAGGGGCTGCCCCAAAGAAGAGGGAGTCAAGCTATTCTCCAAGGCACCTGAAGGCAGGACGAGAAGCACCGGATGGAAACCGATCAAGGAGAGAAGCAACCTAGAACTAAGGAGAAACTTCCTGACAGTTAGAACAATTAACCAGCGGAACAACCTGCCTCCAGAAGCGGTGAATGCTCCAACACTGGAAGTTTTTAAGAAGAGACTGGACAGCCATTTGTCTGAAATGGTATAGGGCAGGGGTAGGCAACCTTGGCTCTTTTATGACTCGTGGACTTCAACTCCCAGAATTCCTGAGCCAGCATGCTGGCTCAGGAATCCTGGGAGGTGAAGTCCACGAGTCATAAAAGAGCCAAGGTTGCCTACCACTGGTATAGAGTTTCCTGCCAGAGCAGGGGGTTGGACTCGATGACCTCCGAGGTCCCTTCCAACTTTTTTATTATTATTAATTATTATTAATTATTATTAATTATTATTAATTATTATTACTATTATTATTACTATTATTATTACTATTATTATTACTATTACTATTATTACTATTACTATTATTATTATTATTATTATTATTATTATTATTATTATTATTATTATTATTATTACTTGTACTTCTGACTCCTGGCTTCAGGGAGTCAGAAGACCCCAAAAGCTCACCAGCCCGACTTCTGTCTTCTTCCTTTCCAGATGCAAATGATCATGTGCGACCTCAAGTCCAGCCTTTCCAGCTCTCACCGGGAGCTGGAAAAACAGATCGAGTCCCTCGACAGGAAACTGGACGAGGTGACCAGATTGCTTTCCGTCCTTGTGCAGTCCAAGCAACAGGAGGAACAGCAGGTGCATTGATGATGGTCAAAGGCTGCCAGGTAAGGGCTGGGCCTCTGCCCGAACAGAGCTGTTTTTTGGGGGGGGGGTTTGCACTACCTTTTCTGTTTGCAAAAATATATATATGAATGCATGGAAAATGGCAGGGATAAAAAGCAGGGAAGGTTGTGGAACGCGGGTTTGAGGAAAGGCCGAAGTAAGGGGATATCTTTCACCACGTATAATGTGGGAATGACCTTGAGGGACAGGAAGGGGAGGAGAGAGGTGCTGGCTGGGGAACGATCAGATAAGAAAAGCCTTGGCCCACAGTTACATAACAGGCAGCCGAAAGAAAGTTCAAAACAATCAGGCAGTAAAATGGTGGGAAATTTGAACGGGCCAGGTTCGGTTTAATGCAGCTTTACGATACAAAGCAGGATAAACTCATCTGGTCGTTGTTTCCTCTCTGGACGACCTAAGATGTCTGACGCGATGCTGTACTTTAGAAGGGATTGCAGTTCTAACTTAACCTAGAATAGCCTGTCTCACATAGTTGGTTCTGCCCTCAGAAATCCAAAAATAATGGAGGCGGATTTTTGGGGGTAATTTACTCTTAAGGCCAAATCCGTATATCTGAAATGTAGGACATTTTAGCATACCTGCTCTGTCCCGCTCTCCCTATGCTGATCTGTTTGATCTAGTAACTAAGGCACCAGGCTAGAAACTAGGAGGCTCTGAGTTCTAATCCTACTTAGGCATGAAAGCTGGCTGGGTGACTTTGGGCCAATCACCAGAAGACTGTGAGTTCTAGTCCCGCCTTAGGCATAAAACGTGGCTGGGTGACTTTGGGCCAATCACCAGGAGACTGTGAGTTCTAGTCCCGCCTTAGGCATGAAAACTGACTGGGTGACTTTGGGCCAATCACCAGGAGATGGTGAGTTCTAGTCCTGCCTTAGGCATGAAAACTGACTGGGTAACTTTGAGCCAGTCAACTTTCTCCCAGCCCAACCCATCTCACAAGATTGCTGTATGGTGGGGAAACAGGAAGGAGGAGTGCTAGGAGTGTTCACCGACTTGAGTTATTAATAAAAGTAATAAAAGTGGGATATAAAGAAATAAAAAATAAGGATTTGATTTAAAAAATAAGAACAATACCTGGATTCAGTCTGGTAGGAGGGGTGCAGGTAGATAAAAATGGGCACCTAGCTTGACATTTATTGGAGCTGTCCAAGCCCAGAACTAACATGTCATCCCTGTTTTGATTTTTTCCCCTTCTCAGGTTGGACATTGAGAGGATTTTGATCTCATTTACCCATCCCTGGCTCAAGAAATGGACTTTTAGAAGGCCATCTGCCTTTTTTTTTAAAATGGATTCCACATAGGCTAAAGAAACTGTTACTACAGCTCCATCCCGTGGTACCTTCAAATCACTGCAAGCCTTATAAACCTTTAGCATCAGTGGACTTAAAAACTGCAGTTTCCAGTTGAGGAAACGATTGTTCGGGTGAATGTATCTGCAAAGACATATGCGGAGGGTCTTCTGGATGGAAACCACATCCTGGTCTCCTCTTTATTGAAGAGAAAAAAAACTGAACTGTGGAGGGAACAGGGTGGAAACTACTTATGGGATAGGGAAACGGCCAGAGAAGTAAGTACTTGAACGGAAGAAAAAGCTCAGCGCTGTGGAATGCGAAGGGTTTTTTGCCTTTGTTCTTGGGCAGAAACTTTTTCCAGACGTTGCAGGAATCAGATCTGCAGGAAGCAGTTGGTAACCTACTGCCCAGTAACTTCTTCAGGGTGGAAGACGCCGTTCGGTTTAGTTTTGACAGCTTGCCACAGAGATTTGGTGACTGAGTAAAAGTGACAAGCTGCCTACAGGCCAGGACCCTTGCGTGTCACGGGGAGAGGGGCTTCATTTTTTATATTTGGTGTATCTGTGTGAAATTCTCGAGGCTACTTAGAATCGTACGACTTGATCGGAGGGGCTTTGAGTTCCAATCGTGCACTTGGTGCAAAAATCTAAATTAAAGCATCTCCAACAGGAAGACGGGAGTTGGCCTTACATTGAACGTCAAAACTTGGTCAGGGGTTCCCCTGTCAAACATTAACATAATTACCAGCTACCTACCCAAAGATGCTCATATGCAGAGGTTTGCTCTTGACAATGGCATTTGGGTTGGTTTACTGGTCCCCAATTTATGTCCTTCGCAATGCAGCCTGGAATTTCTGTAATTAAGTCATGATATTCATAAATCAAGACACCCATTTTTTTTTTTTGCGGTGGTTGCTAAGCAAACCTATAATCATTAAGCAAGTCAATGCATTCTTATGGGCATTGTTTGCTGGAAACCGGCCGAAGACTAGATTCTAGCAAAAACTGATGTAAAGAGCCATGGTGGTGCAGTGGCTAGAGAGCAGTATTGCAGGCTAATTCTGCCAGCCTGCCAGCAGTTCGATTCTCACAGGCTCAAGATTGGACTCAGCCTTCCATCCTTCCGAAGTTGGTAAAATGAAGGCCCAGATTGTTTGGGGGCAAATAGGCTGACTCTGTAAACCGCTTAGAGAGGGTTGTAAAGCACTGTGAAGCGGTATATAAGTCTAAGTGCTATTGCTAAATCATGTCATGTGACCCCAGAATGCTGCAACCAGCCGTAAAGGCCAAGAGCCCGAAATGCAGCTATGTGACCACTAGGGGGCATGTGTCTGTGTGCCACTGCTGGGATTGTGGAACTGGGACTTTTGGGGCAAGAGGGGGGGAGGAAGTCCCTTGTAACATCCAGTGGTTGTGAAGTGACTGGTTATTAAGTGAGGACTACCTGGAGTGTATATTAAACCCCCAGCAATGATCCAACCTGGCCAAGAACCATATTCAGCGAAATGTTAGGGCAGACTCTTTGCAAGCAAACAATTCCTTAAGTTTCCATGCTGAACTTCACTTAAAACCCCAGATTGAGAATAAGAGCTTTCATTTGGGGGGGGGGGGGTACATAAGTGCATTTCTACAACACGCCAAACTTGAATAGTTTTCACCTTGGATGGCTCTGTTGTGAATGAACAGCAGTGCCGTGCAAACGTAGCCTGTTGGATTAGCTCTTCGTTCAAGGTATTGTTCGAACGCCATTTTGTCCGAACTGCCCCTGTTGTGACTCTGCCCGCAATTTGTGAGATGAACAAGAACATCTCTGCATCAAAAGTAGTGTCCTCGATTAGAGAGGCAGGGAAAAAAAGGCCTCCGTTACTTCCAACCTAATTATCTGCTAAGCCACTCTTCTCCCCTGTAGCGTTCTCCAGATGTGCCAATTGCAATATGGCAGCTGGAATTTGCACCCTGTGCCTATCTAGAGATCACTAAGTCAGATGAAGCTTCGATTAATCCGTCGGGACATTGACTCTGAAGGTGGATGAGTACTCCCAAAAGACATAGAGGGGCCCCCAACCCCTGGGCCGTGAACCGGTACCGGGGCGCGGCATGCCAGCAACCGGTCCACACAAACAAGCAAAGCCCCATCTGTGGGATGCAGGCATCACACAAAACCACACTCTCTCTGGTCCGTGGAAAAACCTCTCTACACGGAACCGGTCCCTGGTCCCTGGGGACCTCTGATATAGACAACAGCTTGTTTGCAGAAGAAGGGGTAACACAGGCCATTTTGTAAATTGTCATCTTTAATTGGTGTGAGTGATCTGTGGCCCTTGGCTTACCTTAATTTCATCCAGGGAGGGGCGGAATCCGGAGGAAAGAGATAGAAGAGAAACATTAAAAAGAAAAGAGAGATTGTGGAAGAGGTTAGCTTGGTTGTTGGGGGAAAGAGGGAGGGAAGAAGGGAAGGCTGCAAGCTATGCAGATCAGACTTTCCATCTTCTCTCTCATCTACGACCTGCTGGATGAAGAATGCCGGGGATCGAAAGTCTGTGGAAGGCTGTCAGAAAAGGAAGGCAGATTCTGCCTGTCGCCAAGACAGTCCCTGTTTTCTATCATAAGAAAAAGTGTCCCTCCCCAAAGAATTTGTAATTCTCTCTTTTTATAAACACTTGCATAAAAAACGTACGGGTGGTCCTTGCTTAACGACCACCCTGTTTAGCAAAAGAGGTTACATCGCTGAAAAAAAGCAACTTTATGACTGGTCCTCATGCTTGCAACCGCTGCAGGGTCCTGTGGTCCCGTGACCGCCATGCGAACGCTTTGCAGCCAGCTTCCAACACAGCCAATGCAGACGACTGCAGTAAAATTGCAAGCTGCGGTCAGGGGATGTCTTGCTTACTGACCGCAGGCAGTTCACTTAGCAACCGTGATGGAACTGAGATCCTAAAGTCTGTTGCAATCACCTGATGTTAAACTTAGCAGCAGAGTGCTCAGTTGTTAGGTGAGAATTCCCTGTATACAACTACAACAACAACAACAATAATAATAATACTTGCAAAAGGCGGCCTTACTAGGAACTGCCTACATCCTGCGACGATATCTGTAATAACATCAAACATCCACATCTGCCTATCCCAAGTCCTTGGTTAAGGACTCAATAGGTAGACAAAATGCTAAATCCAGTCTGAACATCTGGCTGACTGTGCGATGATCCATAATAATAATAATAATTAGTGATAATAATAATAATAATAATAATAATAATTAGTGATAATAATAATAATAATAATAATAATAATAATAATAATAATAATAATAATAAAGTTGGAAGGAACCTTAGAGGTCATCTAGTCCAACCCCCTGCTCAGGCAGGAACCCTATACCATTTCAGACAAATGGCTGTCCAGTCTCTTCTTAAAAACGTCCAGTGTTGGAGCATTCACAGCTTCTGGAGGCAGGTTGTTCCACTGGTTAATTGCTCTAACTGTCAGGAAGTTTCTCCTTAGTTCTATGTTGCTTCTCTCCTTGGTAAGCATCCATTGCTTCTTGTCCCGCCTTCAGGTGCTTTGGAAAATAGCTTGACTCCCTCTTCTTTGGGGCAGCCCCTGAGATATTGAAACACTGCTATCATGTCCCCCCTCGTCCTTCTCTTCATTAAACTAGACATACCCAATTCCAGCAACCGTTCCTTGTATGTTTTAGCCTCCATTCCCCTAATCATCTTTGCTGCTCTTCTCTGTACTCTTTCTAGAGTCTCAACATCTTTTTTACATCGTGGTGACCAAAACTGGATGCAGCATTCCAAGTGTGGCTTTACCAAGGCATTGTAAAGTGATATTAACACTTCATGAGATCTTGATTCTATCCCTCTGTTAATGCAGCCTAGCAGTGTGTTGGCCTTTTTGGCAGCTGCAGCACACGGCTGGCTCATTTTCAATCAATTGGTCTGGTAAATATTGTACCCCCAAGGAAGAATGCCACCACCTCCAACCAACGCAATTTCTTCCCTGCTAAATGGCTGGAGGATACCTCCCACCCAAAGCCCCCCTCCCCACAGGTAAGCAACACATTAGGGGCGCAGGATCTCAGCTCTTTAATGACCATCTTTATAATTACATTGCGGGGAAACTAAACAAACATCAGACAGCAACCATCAGCCAACGAGCCAATCTCCTCCGCTGAACCCTCCCCCTCCCTTCAGCTGGCGCCACCTGCCCACCCACCTCAGGAGGAGGAGAGGAACCCAGCCAGCGTGTACACCCGCAAGCCGGGCCGCTGGCTTCTGACGTGATGCCAGAGGTAACGGGACAAGCGTCGGAAGTGGACGCCGCAAGGGCAGCTGAAATGAGCCAGGCCGGGATTGCAGCTGTTGTGCCTTTGCAAGCCGACGTGTCCTTGGAGCGACTTCCCGCAGGTGGAGCAAATAAAGAGGGCTTCCTCCAGGTGCTGGAGCTGGTGGCGCAGCAGGTGGAGCAGGCCCCGGAAGGAAGAGCCGCATTCGCACAGGAAGCTCCGCCCCCGGCGTTTCCGCCCCTTCTGGTGCGAGCGCAGCTGGGAGAGCTGGCTGTAGCAGACCCCGCAGTCCGGGCACTTAAAGCGCCAGATGCTGCTGCTGCTGCTGCTGCTGCGAGGGGGCAGCTTTCTGCCTCGCCGGAAGGTCCGTGGCCGGGGGCGTTGGTGGTGCTCGCTCACCACCATGCCTTGCTGGCCCGTCTCGCTCTCCATCTCCACCACAATGAAGGCATCGTCTGACGACCCCTTGGGACTGGGGGTCTCTTGCCCTGCCTGCAAGCTGGCATCCCAGGGCTCCGAGGCCACCGGGATGCCACCTCCGGTGTCGTACTCCAGATCCAAGACCTCGGGACGGTCCCCTGCAGGGCAGGGCAGCAGCCGCACCACCACGGGGCTTTTGGGACTGGCGGATGCCACGGGAGAGGGCTGCTGCTTGCTTGCCTGGTACAAACTGGGTAAACAGAAGCTGGCTGCCTGCGACTCCCAAGCCTTTTCTCCTTCCTCGGTGGCCTCGCTGTGGTCCAGAGGCAAGGAATTCCCGTAAGGGAAGGTGACGTACTGAGGCTCAGGGACCAAATGGAAGGCGGATGGGTCCAGCGAAGAAATCTGAGGATCCAGGTAGAAGGTGGGGGAGACCTCAGAAGTCTTAATGATCACTTGCTGGAAAGGAGCGGGCTCCGTTTGGCCGTCCACCGCAGCTGCCTGATCCTCCGCTTGAAGAAGCACCGTCCTGTAAACGGTACACGGGTTCTGGCCGACCCACCCGGGGACGACGGCGGCCTGGTCCTTGACTCCACCAGCCTGCAGAGGACTCGTGCCAACGGGAGGATCCAGGACGACCGCCGGCTCCTCGGTTCTTAGGAACATCGGCTGCACGGTGTTCGTGGTCCCCTGGCTGTCAAATACGGCGGTCTGCAGCTCGGCGTACTGCCGCTCGGGAGCCACAGGCATAGCCTCCGCCTCGTCGCCGTCCAGAATGATAATCTGGTTTTCGGCACTCATGACGGCCGGTTGGAAGAGACCCCCAGCCACCTGGCCTTCCAGGACTCCCTCCTGCTTCTGCCAAGGCTGCAGAAGGTGGCCCCCGGTGGCCCCGTCGAGGACGGCCATGGAGTTCCCGGCCTGGGTGGAGCTGAACTGCTCCTGCGGCT